CTGGTAAGACAGAAGAGGAAGGAGATCACCCCGCCCACGGATAAACAGGGGAAGAGGACGAGGTTTTCTAAAACACAGGCGGAGACACCTAGGGATAGGATACCAGTGAATAGGGGACAAGTAACAGGTCAGGATGGGGGTGAGGTCTCTGGTGACGGTGACTGGACGGAGATTAGAAGGAGAAGAAGAAGAACGGATCCGGAGGACACTGACAGAGCAGAAACTGAAACACCCAATAGAAATATTAGGGGAGGAATGTTAAACGGTAGAGTGGCTGGAATAAAGAATACGCCTAGGAGAGCTATGAAGCCGCAGGCGATAGCGGTCCGTTTTGGAAAAGATATTTCCTTCGCCGAGGTCCTTAAAAAAGTAAAGGGCGTGGCAGGCAAGACTCCAGATGGAGTTAGAAATGTCAAACAGACCAGGGCAGGGAACCTGTTGATAGAGTTTTCACCAGGGTCGGACCTAGATGAGCTCAGAAGAAATTTGGATGGTAAGCTTGGCGCTAACGTTGAGGTGACTAAGCTACAGACCATGCTTGATGTTGAGATGAGAGGTATCGACCCCTCCGCAGAAAAGGAGGATGTAATGGAAGCCGTCAGGTCAGAGCTGGGGCATGACGCCAAAGGTGTGAGGGTCAAAATATTACGTACCGACCCAAGAATGAACAAGATAGCGGTCATTGAAGGACCAGCGGTAGACATGCAACGGATCCTAAGAGTGGGCAGGATAAGGATCGGTTGGACGATCGTTACGGCGAGGGAGATACCAAGACTGCTCCGTTGTTTTAAATGTCATGGCATTGGCCACATAGCGAGTGGTTGCAAACTCGTTGTTGAGGAAGGCGGGTTATGCAGAAAGTGCGGGGAGCCTGGTCATCACATGAAAGAGTGTGCGAGCAAGCCTAAATGTAGATTATGTGTTACGGATGGCTTACCCGAGAACCAGATAGGACACGTTGCGGCCTCGGTAAGGTGTCCTAGATACAAGGAGGCTTTAAAGAACAAAAGGCGCGCATGATCTGCATATCCTACAAGTGAATTTAAATCATTGTAGGCTTGCAAATGATCTAGTAAACGTCAGTGCAAGAGAACATGACGTAGACATAATGGTGTTATCAGAGCCATATATTACGCCAGAAAATTGGTTCACGGACCTGTCGGGAAGGGCATCTATATGTGTCACTAACTTGGGTATAGCTAAAAGCAGAAAATTAACAGTACTGAGTTGCGGCATGGGTTTCGTCGGTATAAAATATAACGATATAGGTTTAGTGAGCGTGTATGCCTCCCCAAATGATAGTAATGAAGAGTTTGAGGCTCAATTGGCTGCGATGGAGATTTTTCTAGTGAGCATTCGCAAAACATTGACTAAGATTTTAGTTCTAGGGGATTTTAACGCAAAATCCCCACTATGGGGATCGAAAAAATGGTGTGGTAGGGGAAGAACCCTTTTTCAGTGGTGTAACAGTCTGGGCCTGATTCCCGTGATATCCAAGGGAGGCGTTACCTGTGAAAGGGGAGGAGGATCGGTAATAGACCTCCTCTTTTGTAGTAATGATGCCATGAAACAACACACATCATCGGAGATTTTGGACACCTTTACAGCGTCGGACCATAAATATATTATTCATAAGTTTGGTGAAAACGCTATAAATGGTGAACCAGCAAAGGACCCCTTTGACCTAGGAAAAGGGAAAATTGATGAAGAAGGTCTCCTGTGTGAGCTTGTTCAGAAATATGGGGACGCGAATTACGATAGGAGAGGTAAAACCGGAACCACCATGGAGGTGGACAAGTTCATCGATGATGTAGAGAAATTAGTGAATAAATATACCACCTACAGAGGACCCTATAGAGGAAATCGCCACCCTGTATACTGGTGGAATGAGGATACGGCTAGATACAGGAAGGATGTAAATAAGGCAAGGAGAAGGTTGACAAGGTTGAGGGCTAAGGGAAACAAGAAAGATATAGAGGAGGCTCATAAGGATTTTAAGATGGCCAAGAAAGCAATGAATCGTGAAGTAAAAAAGGGTAAAAGAACCCGCTGGGAAAATATGTTATCGGAAATAGATAAAGATATATGGGGTAGACCATATAAGCTGGTCACTAGGAAGCTCAAGGGGAAGGTTAATAAACCAGACATCTTGAGCCCTGAGGAAGTCGAAGAGGTGGTCAAAAAGCTCTTTATCCTGTCACCACCGAAAGGAGAGATTCCTGAAAGAAAAAACGAACAAGAGGTTAGAGAGAATATATATGACGTTGAACACTTACCTGATAAACCCGGAAGTCCTGGTGTACCTGAAAATAAAAATAAAAATAAAAATAATAATGATGTGAACGTTTCCACAATAGACGCGCGATACTTACCTGAAGAGCCGCGAGATATACCTGAAAGAGAAAGGGAATACGATGGGACTAATATGTATGAGGAGAGGATGTATGTACCTACCTGTATCAGACACAGAAGAGTGGGAGGGATCACACCCGAGGAGATCATCGCTGTGGTGAGGGGTATGCCGGTGAACAAGGCACCTGGTCCAGACAGGTTGTCTTCGGCAGTAACGAAGAAATTTAGTATGAAAGCGTCTAGGTGGCTTGCACACATCTACAATACATGCTACTGACCAAGGTCGTGGAAGACAGGACGCTTAGTTCTGTTACCTAAAGGGAAGGCCACGAAAGCCGAAGAGAGGGCATACAGACCTCTCTCGATAATCCCCTGTTTAGCTAAAATCCTAGAAAAGGTAATCAAGACCCGTTTATTAAAGGAATTAGAGAAAAATGATCTGGCAGAGAACCAGTTCGGGTTTAGAAAAGGGCGATCAACAATCGACGCGATGGACAGGTTGGACTATATTTGGCAAACGGCACGTAGAGATGGAAGACACTGCCTCCTGGTGATGTTGGATGTAAAAAACGCATTCAACACCATCAGGTGGAGCAGCATCATTAGGTGTATGGTGGAACGAGGATTCTCTCCGGAGCTAATTGCATTTATACGTAGCTATTTAAGCGAGAGATGGATTGTGTACAACTCCGCTGAGGGGGAACTACGTTACCAGGTTTTTGGCGGGGTTCCACAGGGTTCTGTGATAGGACCAATACTGTGGAACCTCGTGTACGATGGCCTGTTGAGAATACGACTACGCAGAGATGTGTACCTGATAGCGTACGCGGACGATATTGGCATCGTGGTCGTCGATGATGACCTGCATAGGATGGTGTATGTGGCAGAAGAGACGATTAAGGACCTGGGTGACTGGTATAAAGAGGAGGGTCTGAGCCTGGCAAACCACAAAACTGAGGCCGTATTGTTAACAGGGAGAAAGGTAACGGGTGGTCTTAGGCTGATTTGCGGGGACGCTGAGATCAAAACGTCCCGCGAAGCAAGATATCTGGGTCTCATTCTTGAAATGAACCATGGTTTTAAGAGCCACATTGAAACGGCCTGTAACAAGGCCCTAAAATACGCTAATGTACTGGCCCAATTGATGCCCAATATAGGTGGTGCGGGTAACCAGGCCCGCAGGCTATATTACAGGGTGGTAGAATCGGTTATCCTATATGCTGCCCCATTATGGGTCACCGGTCTGCAATTCAGTATGAATCGGAAGCTATTGGCGGGCACACAACGTACGGCGCTTTTAAGATTAGCACAAGCCTATAGGACCACGTCAGTTGATGCGCTTTGCGTCATAACGGGACAGATACCCATTGATTTGATGGTAGAGGAAAGGAGGCGTATCTACAAGAAGAGGAAAGAAAATAAAAACTACACTACCGAGGAGATTAGCAGGACCAAAAAGGAAGAGAGGGAGGTGACCTTAGAGACCTGGGAACGGAGATGGACTGAATCAATGAAGGGCAGATGGACATTCGAGCTGATTCCCAAGGTAGACTGGATAACATGGGGACCGAAGCTTTTGAGTTACCATGTAACCCAAGTACTAACAGGTCATGGTTGCTTCGGCACTTACCTGTGGAAAATTGGTAAAAAGGAAAGTTCCGGATGTTGGTTCTGTGAGGGCTACGAAGACAGTCCAGAGCATTTTTTGTTTAGCTGTAGTCGTTGGAGGGTGGAAAGAGCCACATTGAATACTACTATAGGCGAACCTCTTGGAGTTGTAAATTTTATTAGGTTATTAGGTGACAACAGGTATAGGGACCATATAATCAGGTTTGTGACCGGCTCATTAAGAGACAAAGAGAAATACGAGAGAGATAGAGAAAACGAGATGAGAATAAGGAGAAACCCGAGAGCTCGTAGAAAAAGATGATATTATGCTCGAAAATAGAGCCTCAAGGTAACAAAATCAATCTCTAGTCAAGGCGCCATATACACGCCGATTCTCTGTGTGATGTTGTCTGTATTTATTTATTTATTATTTAGTCTTAAGCACGTATGCTTCGCATAACCACTTTGTGGAGGATTTTAATCCAAACAGACGCACCTATTGGGTAGCTTTTTTAAAACTTGACAAAGGGTACTTTTACCTGATTATCGCTTTAAATCATGAGCATGGCTGTATAGGCCTTTGTACTGTGTTGACGCGGAGCATTCGTACAATATGTATTCACTCCGGTGTTTGAAAACGCCGTATGGGCGTGCCCGGCTTGAAGGAGGAGCTGTTACGGGCCTTGTAGACACCCCGTGATTTTTGACGCCAGACGCCACCCCCCCCCCCCCCCCCCCCCCCCCCCTCCCCCCCCGAAGTAATGCCTCAGATCACTAGATCGCGGCTGTTCCGGGGTGGAGGGGATAAAACAGGCAACCAGAACGGGAAATCGAGGTGGGTTTTTTAGTGGGTAGACCAAGCCTTGGGAGTCCCACAGTACCGGGCATTTAACACCGTTGCCCGGTCTGCATAAATGCATTTTTCCCACCTCGTTAAAATAAAAAAAAAAAAAATTAAAAAAAAAGGGTTAGGTTAGGTTAGGGTTAGGTTAGGGTTAGGTTAGGGTTACGCGAACGAGAGAGGGGGCGGTTCTAAGAATATGCCCAGGAGGGCCGTGAAACCGCAGGCGATCGCGGTTAGGTTTGGAAAAGAGACCTCCTTCGCGGAGGTACTCAAAAAAGTTAAGGGGGTAACTGGTAGGGTCCCTGATGGGGTTAGAAATGTTAAGCAGACCAGGGCAGGGAATCTGCTGATAGAGTTTGCACCTGGGTCTGACCTGGATGAACTAAGGAAAAACTTAGATGGTAAGCTGGGAGTGAATGTAGAGGTAGCCAAGCTACAAACAATGATGGATGTAGAGATGAGGGGGATAGATCCCTCGGTAGAGAAAGAGGAGGTCCTGGAAGCCATCAGGGCTGAGCTTGGACACGAGGCCAAAGGTGTGAGGGTCAAAGTTCTCCGCACAGACCCAAGAATGAGCAAAGTAGCGGTTGTTGAGGGACCTGTTGCGGACATGCAACGGATTCTGAGGGCGAACAGGATTATGATTGGATGGACGGTTATTTCTGCGAGAGAGATACCGAGGCTACTTAGGTGTTATAAATGCCATGGTATTGGCCACATAGCGGGTGGCTGCAAGCTCGTTGTGGGAGATGGCGGATTGTGTAGGAAATGTGGGGCTGTAGGACACCACATGAAAGATTGCTCAAACGAGCCAAAGTGTAGGCTCTGTGTGGAAGACGGTCTCGCCGAGAGTCAGACCGGACATGTTGCGGCCTCTGTAAGGTGTCCGAGATACAAGGAGGCGCTTAAAAATAAAAGGCGACCATAATATAAACATTCTCCAGGTGAATCTTAACCACTGTAGACTGGCGCATGACCTGCTAGCTGTCAGTGCAAGGGAGCAGGAAGCGGACATACTGGTGCTGTCCGAACCGTATTTAACGCCAGATAACTGGTTTACGGATCTAACGGGTAGGGCTTCCATCAGCATCACCAACACAGGTATAGCAAAAAGCAGGAAGTTAACGGTCCTGAGCTGTGATAAGGGCTTTGTCTGCATCAATTACAATGATATATGCATAATGGGCGTATATGCCTCCCCCAACGATAGTAGCCAAGCTTTTGAGGCACAACTAGCGTTGATGGAGATGTTTCTAGCTGGTAATAAGGGGACTTTAACCAAGGTCATAGTCGCAGGTGATTTCAACGCTAAATCGCCACTGTGGGGGTCGAAGAATTGGTGCAATAGAGGCAGGACTCTGTACCAGTGGTGTAATGGTCTGGGACTGACTCCCACCATAGCAAAAGGAGGTGTTACTTGTGATAGGGGAGGGGGGTCAGTGGTTGACCTCCTTTTCTGTAGCAACGACGCCATGAAACTCCACGTAACATCGGATGTATTGGACATGTACACGGCATCGGACCACAGATATATTGTGCGAAAGTTTGGCAGGGCTAAGACGGATTCCATGAGGGAGAAGGACCCGTTTGACCTAGGAAAACCAAAAATTGATGAAGCTGGACTCCTGGAGGAACTTATCCGGAAATACGGTGACGAGGCCTATGACAAGAGAGCTAAAACGGACACTACGTTGGAGGTAGACAGGTTTATTGAGGACGTGGATAGACTGGTTAACAAGTATACTTCTTATAGAGGCCCATACAAGGGTAACAAAACACCTGTATACTGGTGGAATGAGGATACGGCTAGATGCAAAAAAGAGGTAAACAAGGCGAGGAGGAGACACACTAGGTTAAGGGCTAAGGGTAATGAGAGAGATATAGAGGAGGCGTATAAGGTATATAAGACGGCACAGAAAACAATGAAGCGTGCGGTGGAAAAAGCCAAAAAAACTAGTTGGAAAAATATGCTAACGGATATTGACAAGGATATATGGGGGAAACCGTACAAGGTGGTCACATGGAAACTGAAGGGAAAGGGTAGTAAGCCAGATATACTGAGTGCCGAAGAAGTAGGGTCAGTGGTAAAGAAATTATTTATCCTGTCCCCTCCGAGGCCGGATACACCTGAAAAAAACACTGAAATAGTGGTTAGAACTGTTGAAAATGAAGATGAAGTTATATACTTACCTGATGAACCCGGATGTACTGGAGCACCTGAAAAAGAAAATAACAATGATAAGAATGGAGAGAGAAGAGGTACGGGATACTTACCTGGGGGACTGAGAGAGATACCTGAAAGAGAAACAGAAAGTAGAGAGAGAGAAATTAATGTGGAAGAAGAACTGCCAGATGTACCTGTACCTGTACCTGTCACGCTTGAGCACCGAAGAGTGGGAGGGATTACCCCCGAAGAGATTACCTCAGTGGTTAGATGTCTACCAGTTAATAAAGCGCCTGGGCCTGATAGGATGCCTACGTCAATAGCAAAAAAATTCAGCCTGAGAGCGGCTAGGTGGCTAGCGTATATTTATAACACCTGTTATGCTAGAGGATATTGGCCAAGGTCGTGGAAGACCGGACGTTTGGTCCTATTACCTAAAGGGAAGGCGACAAGAGCAGATGAGAGGGCATATAGGCCCCTCTCGGTAATTTCCTGCCTGGCGAAAATACTGGAAAAACTTGTTAAGACGCGTATCTTAAGAGAATTAGAAAATAATGACCTGGCCGATAATCAATATGGCTTTAGGAAAGGTCGCTCAACGCTCGACGCAATGGACAAAGTGGATGGCATCTGGCAAAAAGCCCGCAAAGATGGAAGGCACTGCCTCCTGATCCTGTTGGATGTAAAAAATGCATTTAACACGATCAGGTGGGACAGTGTCATTAGGTGCTTAGAGGAAAGAGGATTTGCACCAGAGCTTGTTAACCTGATAAGAAGCTACCTAGATGAAAGGTGGATAGTCTATGATGCGGCGGAGGGGGAACTCAATTTCCAGGTGTTTGGGGGGGTTCCACAGGGCTCCGTCATCGGCCCAATTCTGTGGAACTTGGTATACGACGGCTTACTGAGGGTGAGACTGCGCAGAGATGTGCACCTGGTGGCGTATGCGGATGACATTGGTATTGTCATCGTTGATGTCGATTTGGCTAGAATGGTGTATGTAGCACAGGAGACCATCAAAGACCTGGGGGTATGGTACAAGAGTGAGGGGCTGAGTCTGGCGCACCATAAGACGGAAGCCATTTTGTTGACGGGAAGGAAGGTAGTGGGTGGCCTTAGCGTGATATGTGGGGATGCGGAGATCAGAACTGCACGTACGGCACGGTATCTGGGCCTTATATTGGGCATGAACCATGGTTTTAAGAGTCATATTGAAACCGCCTGTAGCAGGGCTCTTAAATATGCAGGGGTGTTGGCTCATCTGATGCCCAACCTTGGTGGTGCAGGAAACCTGGCCCGGAGGCTGTTTTATAGAGTAGTAGAGTCGGTGATACTCTACGCGGCCCCGCTATGGGTTGGGGGTCTGGAGTTTAGAACAAATTGCAACTTGTTGTATAGCACACAGCGTACCGCGCTGCTAAGGGTAGCGCAAGCCTATAGAACAACATCATGGGATGCACTCTGTGTAATAACAGGACAGATACCCATCGACCTGCTGGTGAAGGAAAGAGCACGCATTTACGAGAAAAGGAAGGAAAATAGGGAACTCAGTATTGAGGAGATCGTCAGGATCAAGAAAGAAGAGAGGGAGGTGACAATGGATACCTGGGAGAGCAGATGGACAGCGTCGACGAAGGGTAGGTGGACCTTCCAACTGATTCCCAACATAAGGGAGTGGGTTACATGGGGACCAAAGGTTCTGAGCTACCATGTGACCCAAGTTTTAACGGGTCATGGGTGTTTTGGGTCGTATCTATTGAGGATTGGCAAACAGGAAAACGCATGCTGTTGGTTCTGTGAGGGACACGAAGATAATCCAGAACATTTTCTACTTCATTGTAGTCGCTGGAGGGAAAAAAGAGCAACAATGAATGCCACCATAGGTGAAAATCTAGGTGTTGGAAACTTCATCAGGCTATTTGGTGACAGCAGAAGTAGAGAACAGATAATCATGTTTGTAACCAGCTGTATGAGAGAGAAAGAGAAATATGAGAGGGATAGAGAAAAAGAGAGGAGAACGCAAGGCAATCCCAATGATATGCCCATCCAAGTAATAGATATTACATAAACGAGGAGATTCTAGTCAGAGCGCCCTATACACGCCTATTTTATGTTACTGAGTGCTTGTTTATAAGTATTTACGTATTTTACTTATTTATTTAATAGTAATTATTGCTATGCAATCCGATTTTTATGAGATTTTTATTGGACAGACGCAACTATGTGCAGTATTTTTATTTTAGTTTAAATCTGACAAAGGGCACTTTAGCTCGACTATAGTTTTACCCCTGGAGTATGGTCATGCATACTTTTAAAAGCTGACGAAAATTAAATAGGCGTTTGCATCGCCTCCAGCATTTGTTGACGCCCACTGGCCGTGTTCCGATGAAACAGGGCGTGGCCCATCGGATGGAGCAAGAGATACAGAAGAAGTGCCGAGAGAAGTATAAGCTGCTCCAAAGGTTTAGTGCACCATTTGACCCCCCCCCCCCCCCCCCTCGAAGTAATGCTATAGATCATTAGATCGCGGCTTTTCCGGGGGTTGTCAGGGAGGAGGCCGGAAACATGAACGAGAAATCGAGGTGGATTTTTTAGTGGGTATACCAGTGTCTGGGAGTCCCACAGTACCGGGCATCTAACACCGTAGCCCGGTCTGCATAAATGCATTTTTCCCACCTCGTTAAAATAAAAAAAAAAAAAAAAAAAGGGTTAGGTAAGGGTTAGGGTTAGGGTTAGGGTTAGGGTTAGGGTTAGGGTTAGGGTTAGGGCTAGGTTAGGGTTAGGGTTAGGTTAGGGTTAGGGTTAGGGTTAGGGTTAGGGTTTGCATTGTGGCGGTTTATCGCATTCCTTCATCTCGTGACCGGGTGCACCACATTTTCTGCACAATCCCGCCCCTTCCAGAGAGACTACAGGGCATTTCAATGCAATGTGCCCTACGGCATGGCATCGATAGCACCTTATTATTCGTGGGATTTCTTTAATGGCAGCCACCGTCCATCCTATTTTTATCCGGCCGAGCAGATTATTAAAAACATGGCTGCGTGGTATACATCAGAGGGTCTGTCATTGGCCCATCATAAAACCGAAGCCATTATGCTGACAGAAAGACAGATCCCTAACCCTCTCACTTTTAAGTGCGGAGACAGTATCATAACGGTCACAGGGGAGGCGAGATACCTCGGGCTGATTCTTGGAAAGAGACGGGGTTTTAGAAGCCATATCATCAATAGCTGCAATAGAGCACTGAAATATGCTAGTGTACTATCCCTGTTGATGCCTAATACGTGTGGTGCAGGCAACCTTCCACGGAAGTTATACTACAGTGTTGTGGAGTCGGTCGTTATGTATGCTGCACCTATTTGGGGTAACAGTCTGGTATTGAAAGGCAACGTGGATTTAATAAATGGAACTCAACGTACTGCATTATTGAGGGTGGCCAGAGCATACTGCACCGTTTCTGCAGATGCTCTATGTGTTATTACGGGCCATATCCCGTTAGACCTACTTGTGGCTGAGAGGATGAGGCTCTTCGAAAGAAGAAACAACAATCCGAAAAGGGCTTTAAACGAAGAGGATAAAGAAGAGGAAAGGAAACACACCGTGGAAAAGTGGCAGGAGAAGTGGGATTCCTCCCTGAAGGGTAGGTGGACCCACAGGTTGATCCCTAAGATAAGAGATTGGTATACCTGGGACCCAGGACTGCTGGATTATTATCTAACCCAAGTCCTTACGGGTCATGGGTGTTTCGGCACGTTTCTGAAAAAGATTCATAAACAGGAATCTGCAAATTGTTGGTTTTGCCCTGGAAAAACGGACGACCCTGAACATACAATTTTTGACTGTGATCGCTGGGCCGCGGAAAGGCTTCAATTGAATATACAATTAGAAGAGGATCTCAGTATCAATAATTTTATTGCAACGATTAAAAACCCAGGCTACAGGTCTCATGTACTGCAATATATAGGCAAAGTGCTGAAGGGTAAAATAAACCATGAAAGATATGTCCTGGAAACGTTCAACCGGAGTAAAAAGAAGAAGAAGAAAACTCAACTGGTAATGACGTAATACTAATTATGGTAAATTACAGACACAGGATAAGTAACCGGGGTGTACCCCCATTGTAGGCGACGGCCTGACTTGGTGATCCCTCCCTGAAGATATGCTTATTGCAGTTCCGGGGTTAGGGTGCGATACAACACCACAGGCTCCTTTATTGCGAAATCGAGGTAGGGTTTTTAGTGGGTACACAAGGTGAGTACCTTGGAGTCCCACACTACCGGACGCACACCTGTCCGGCGTGCGCAAAGCATTTTCCCTCCTCGTTAAAAAAAAAAAAAAAAAAAAAAAAGGGTTAGGGTTAGGGTTAGGTTAGGGTGGATTTCCGCTCGACGCGTCGAGGAGAGCGGACGTGTTTCGTGGTCGCTCCGTGGTTAGTTTTGCAACGCGGTGAAAAGCGGCTTATTTATTCGCGTTTTTTGTTAAATAGTGTTTATTAAGTGTTCGGGAGTGCTATTGTTGTGTTTTGTGATTAAATAATGTGTTAATTTGTTGTTAAATAACGAAAATGTGATGTGCGTGTTACGCGGCATTTCCACGTGTGTTCCCGGTATTCGTGGCATTAATTATGAACATTAGACATTATGTACGGATAAATTTGATTAATCGGGAACGTTTCGCATTAAAATTCCGCGTTTTTTGTGACTTTTTGTGATTAAATTAATGAAGACAACGCATGCAAGATCAGACAGGATTGACAGGTTTTCAAGATGGCTGCTGTGGTTGGACAAGGATAGTCAACCTGCACGCGCGGCCCGGGCCTTGGATAGAAGAGGACAGACGATGGGAAATTAGGTCAACGGTTTGGTGACGTATTATTTTTATTCCTTTATTCTGATTTTATTCTGATTTTATTTTGTTTTCCGTTAATTGCGTCGGTTTATTAAGTGATTTGTGTAAAAGTGCATCGATATTTTTTCAATATTTTTCGATATTCCATCGTTATGTGTGTATTATTATATTAATTTATATTAATTTACTTTATTTTACTATCTGGTTGCATGCGTTTGACTGGCGCGTTATTCCGCTGTATTATTTATTTAATTATTTATTATTTATTAACACATTCGATTAATCGATTCGATTATTCGATTAGCCGGTGTTGCATATTTTCGTCGTATTTATTCGTCGTATTTTATTATTTCCACTATTTTCCATTGTCATTTTAACGCGTTTATTAATTCACATAATTTATCTTCATTTATCTTCATTTCATTTTTATTTTACATATTTCGCTTCATTATTTCATTGTTTCATTGTCTATAGTGTTCTATATTTTATTTACTTTTCCTTTGCCGTTTATACTTATATTTTTTTATTTATATTTCACATTATTTTGTGCTACTTTGCGTTTGTTTCATTTATTTTATATTATTTTATTTATTATGGTACAGTGGGATAGTGCGCCTTGATAATTTATGCAACTTGCGTTATATTCATTATTTGTTTTTGTTGCGTGTCCGTCGCGGAAAATAGGGATATTCGGGGATTTAGGTGCAGGTGTGACAGTCCGTGGAGCGCAGAGGCGCTCCGCTCTCAAGGCGCGGATATACAAAATAGTAAACTGTTATTATTGTTTTTAGTACTTTAATATTTTGAATTCAAATTAAAATCAGAACTTTAAAGTTGCGTTGTTAAGGCTTAGACCCTTCTGAGTGAGAACGACTTGTTCGTAACGAGTAACAAAAATCATTCTGACAATTCTGCGCTTGGCGGAGGAGATCTTCGCGCGTTGTCGGTCGATGCCCCTTCCTTGGTGGATCCTGGATCCTCCCTCAGGATCATCCCTCGTCCAATGGTGGAGGAGTCCACCCCGTCTCGTATGGGCCCCTTCTCCTGGCTGTGGTCCACCCTCAAGCGCGTGGAAGTGGAGGCGCTCCGCCAAGACGCTAGAACGTTGCAGCGCACATGTGCTAAGAGAAAGCGTGGGGCCCAGAGAAATTAGGAAACGACAAGACCTTGTACTTGCCAAAGCAACTCTTGAGGAAATTTACGACCCTCTTAGAGTGCATGAAAAGACAGGATATCGAAAAAGACTTCGTAACCCTTAAGGACCGTTCGTGACTTGGTCAAAAACAACGAATTAGCTATGGTCTATCATAAATTAGTTTTTTAGGAATTTTCCAAGTGAAACTATTCCATTCTCTGGACTTCCGGCCTTCTCTCAGCTCTATCACCCACGTCGAGGGGTTTACAATTTACTCTTTGTCTATTTATATAAGGGTATGCTTAGACGATGTTCGAATTTCGCTCTTAATTTATGACCAGCGATACAAAGGTCCTCGAAGAACATTCAAGACATATCGATACAATAGACTATCGATAAATATTCTCATGGCAGTGTCGCCACACCACTCTAAACATATTCACGTGATAACGTTTCACGTTACACCTTCCCCCTTATACAAAAAGGTGTTTACAAAAAAAAAACAGCTTTTTCATTCATAACATAACTTCCTAATAACGTGAAAGTAAGTCTGTATTTAGTAGTTCATTCAATGTCACTCATCGTACAATCTTCAATAGTCCATTCAATAACTCGTAGCTTCGCACACATCATAATCTGTATACGTAAACGTACAACAAATAATAATTCCTCCATATATTGTCAATAGTCTCTGGATTATTCATAAACCGTAATATTAATAGAACATAAGCACAAGCTTACAAGGCATTCAACGATACGCATATATTTAATTCAGTCTTCGGTAGAATCGTCCAGCCGAATACACGCCAATTTTAATTTGTTGGTATGTACTATCTTATATTTATTTTCCTTTAATTCTAATTCCGCTGTTAAGTCTCCAAACATTCGACTTATTTTATACGGACCCAGCCAGTCGCAATCAAATTTAGAACTTCTAGGCTCTTTAAGTAAATACACCATGTCGCCTACATTAAATTTACATGGATTTAATCTCTGATCATAGTAATCCTTGCTTTTCTGTTTTGCTTTTTCCAGATTTCGTGCAGCCATAGTCTGTGTGGTGGTAATTTTAGTAAAAAGCTCATCAAAATGCTGTGCAAAAGTTCGAGGCGCTTGCCCTTTGGAAAATTCAGAGGGTATGTTGGCCTTTACACCAAAAACCAATTCATGAGGGGTGAACCCAGTGCCCTCATGTACAGAGGTATTATAAGAGAAAATGCAAAAACGTATCCAATCGTCCCAATCTGTTTTTGTGCAATAGTGCTTAAGATAATTTATGAAGCTACGGTGTGCCCTCTCAAGAGAACCCAACGACTGAGGATGGAAAGCCGTGGATGTAATTTGCTGAATTTTGAAAATCTTACAGAAATTCTTCATTAACTGACTAATGAAGTTCCTTCCTTGATCCGTATGGATAACCCGTGGACACCCAAAACGGCTAATAAACTGTTCGGCAAGAGCATGTGCAACGGTTACCGTGTCTATGGTTTTTAATGGAATTGCATCAGAATACTTGGTCAAATTATCTTGCAGAGTAAGTAAATACTGATTCCCTTTATTGGTTACGGGTAACGGTCCAACTATATCCATTTGTAATTTCTCAAAGGCTTGTCGAGGAGTATCTGTGATTAACATCGGTTGTTTAGTCTTAGCGGAATAATTTTTATTCTTTTGACAGACTGGACAAGAACGAACGAACTTCGCAATCTCCTTTGCCATGCCCGGCCAATAAAACCGTTCACGAATGAGTTGGTATAATTTATAAGTACCCCTATGACCTCCTACCACCGAATCATGATGTTCTTGGATAATCTGAGATCGTGTTGACTCTAACGGAACTTCAACCCCGCCAGCACACAAGGTAATTACGTATTCCGAATTTCCAAAAATTTGCTTAAGTATGTCTATTATATTATTCCGATCTGGAGCATTGAATCTATCCGAGTCTATTAAAAGACTGAATGTTTTGGAACCCACAGTATCGAGGAGAGACTTTAATGACTTTAATGATGATTCAACGTGTCTAAAATCCAATTCGTCTCGAGGCTCATTTTTATAAAATAAGAGGAAAACAGAATGTTTTTCATGACGAAAAATCATGGCGTCACCAACTTCGATCTGATACTGTTGCATTAGCTCAGTGGTAAATCCAATCCGACTTAGCAAGCCCACAGTAGTCTGGGAAGTATCATTGCAACTCAAAGGTATAAAATGTGCAAGATTGTCGTGTCGCATAAAAAGATTATCTTCCACATGATATATAACAGGTAAAGAGGAAGGATCTACCGTAGGTCTATTCATTTCATTATCCAAATTATTAATCAATATTGTTCTTTTACTGTTTTCACCGCTCTTGACATTATTAAGATCTATAATCCTTATCTTTTTCTTTATAGAAACCGTTAACGAGGTCACAATCTCTTTGGGAATCCCAGTGCCAACTTGTCCACGCTGCCTGGTCTCTCTGCCAAGGCATTCCACAACATCAACCCTAGAACCATGCAAGCATGTACCCATGCGCGCTGGGCATTGTACAGATAGAGCGCGCAAATGCACGTTGGTCTGCCCGACATAGCACGAATCATGGCACGCTGGGCAAATAAATGGCCTGTTTGGTTGGAAACATTTCACCGAGCCGCACCCGCATGTAACGTCTGGGGTGGATTTCACGGCGGGTCCAGCATTTCCACCAGCTGCGACCTCATTTTCACTCTCACCCGAAACCACTGTTCGAGGCGAGGACAAAATCACACAATCACGGGGATCACACCCCTGCGCTGGCACAAGCTGCACCGGGACCACACAGGCACCCTCATGGAATGATCCCTTCCGAGATTTAAATAAACTTTTTGATGACACAGCTTCCGTATTCAAAGTTCTTTGCTCCTTGTTGGTGACCTCGTTTTGTTTAGCCGCTGCCTTCCCGCGCGCCAGGAATGCAGAGGCCACTAGCGATTCATTATAGACGAACTGCATTTCGTCCATCCCGGCCGGTTCGGAGCCTGCAACTGGTGTCCCACCTGCGCAGGCAAGCACCCTTTCCAGACACCGCGAACCGGGATTGGAATCCATGCTAGACCATACGATAAGTGGTTGAGGATCTGAATTTATACAGGTGTCTACGGGGTTCCGCGAAAGTGCGTCGGCATTGGCGTTGACCTTTCCAGGTTTATATACCACAGTATAATCGTATTCGTTCAACCTAATCCGCCACCTCATGATTTTAGATGTTGGATCCTTGACATTGTGTAACCATACCAAGGGTCTATGGTCAGTGAGCAATGTAAACTGTCGGCCATAAAGGTAAGGTCGAAAATGTTCCACTCCAAACAAGACTGCTAACAATTCTTTCTCAATTGTCGAATAGTTAATCTCTGCATCATTGAGAGATCTTGAAGCATATGCGACTGGGAGATCTTTTCCCACTGGCCCCTGACTAAGTATGGCGCCTATGGCGTAATTAGAAGCGTCAGTGGTAACAAGAAAAGACTGAGAAAAATTCGGAAACTGCAATAAAGGTTCAGCGCAAATAATATCTCTCAATGTTTCAAAGGAGGTTTGCACATCGGCAGTCCAACGAAAAGGTACGTCCTTCTTTAAAAGTCTAGTCAACGGTTTTGCGATTTTTGCCATATTTGGAACGAAGCGTCTATAATATCCCACTAGACCTAGGAATTGTTTGATATTCTTCCTGGTTTTGGGTACGGGAAATTGTTTTACGGCTCGAATCTTTCCAGGGTCAGGTTTTACACCCTCATCGGTAATCACATGCCCCAAGTATGCTATTTCCTTTTGCAAAAACCGGCATTTTTCAGGCTGAAGTGTCAACCCAGCGTTTTGTAAACGAGCTAAAAGAGTCTTTAACTTGCGCCCATGTTCTTCTATGGAGGCTGCATAAATTACAATATCATCCATATATACAAGAAGTTCAACACCCTGCAATCCGGATAATATCAAGTCCATAACCCTTTGAAAAGTGGCAGGAGCATTCTTGAGGCCAAAGGGCATCCTATTGAATTCATAGTGACCATGAGGGGTCGAGAAAGCCGTTTTAATTTTCGATGCAGGGTCTACAGGTATCTGATGGAAACCAGAAGCTAAATCTAGTGTACTGAAGTATTTAGCTCCTCCTAATTGATCCAAAATTTCAGTGATATTTGGAAGAGGATATGCATCAGCCACAGTTTTCTCATTTAATCTTCGATAATCGATAACCATCCTCCAGCGTGGTTTACCAGAAGACCCCGGCTTTTTCGGAACTACCCAAACAGGTGAATTATAAGGGGACACTGAAGGTTGAATAATTTTGTCTTTAAGCAAGGAATCTACCTGTGTTTCTATTTCGTTTTTATGGACTGGTGGGTATCTATACTGTTTAGTATGAATAGGTATTTCATCTGTTGTACTAATAGTGTGATGAGGAACATTGGCTGCTTTTAATTTGTCCGTAGGAAGATGAAATTGATATGAAAATTCGTTAACGATTTCCAGAATGCTGGCCTTTTCCCCCTCCTGAAGATGACTTAAATCCAAATATTTTAGTAATTCACTAAATCTCCGAGCCTGATCTGCCGATTTATTTAAACCCGGATTCCCTGTTCGAGACGAACGAGATGCAGGAGGTATCAATTCGAATTCCTCTAATTCAATCCGTGGTATCGTAAGGGTAACAAAATCAGATGTAGTGTTAATAACAAACAATTTAACCAAGCCATCCTGTTGACTTGCCAATACTTCACCCAAGAAAATACCAGGGCCAGCGTCAATCCTTCTAACATAGCCTGACATATTTTTGCCCTTTGTCGGGACGGAAATCAACACCTTTTTTCGAGGAGGTAGATCAAAAGATGTAAAGGTAGGAGCTTGGAGGTTCTCCTCCCCGAATTCTATGAGACATGGGAAATTTTCTTTAAACCTAATTGTAGCTCGTTGTTTTTCTAGAAACGACGTCCCCAAAAGTCCGGCTTCTTTAATAGGAAAATTGTCCTCGACCATTTGAAAACAAATAGGGATACCATGAATAGGTATGACGACTTCACCCCACGACTGGACCGTTCCCGAGCCAATCCCGGTAAGGTAATAAATTTTATCTACGTTGACCGGTAGATCTGGTTTTAATTCCTTCCGTTTAATAAGGTTTAATTGTGAACCAGTATCCACAAGAAAACTAATTGGTTTATTCAGAAAATATTCGTGTGCTAGGCAAACAGCCGGTGACTGCTTTTTACTAATTAGTTCCTTTTCGCGGCAGACGCGGTGGATCCGGCGCGTGATATCAGGGGTTCTCTCCGTGTCGCGCCCGTTTCCGGAGGCCCTTTTGAGTTTAAAGGATTTCGTCGATTTACGGGGGTCGAAGAAACTGCTGGTTGCGAACCCTTTACCCAGGCACGGTGAGTATTTTTGCTGTAACATACCGAACTCGCATGACCTGCTTTACCGCATTTCTGGCACCTGAGCGTGTCGCGATTTGTATTTGCGAAACGGCGGTCCCGTCGTATCCGACAATCGACAGAAATATGTCCGACCTTCCCACAAGTAAAACATCTGCGGTCGCGCGTTTCCGCGATCAGCACTCTGGAATTTGTATCAGGAACGCTGGTGTTCTGTGAATTCCGCGATGAATTCACCTGAGTTTCAATTTTTGACGCTAATTTAATTGCCGCTCTTAAATCTTTAACGTCATCGTTAGAAAGTATACTCGCGACAACATCATTTCCCAGTCCCCCTAAAAATCCTGCCACCGCGCTCGTCATAAGTAATTTTTTAATGCCCCCAAATTCCTCTGAACTCAAATCTTCTTTCGCCCCCTGTACCCCACGATCTAAAATATCGTTTACTCGGAACCCGTATTCCTCGATCGATTCGCTTTCACGACGGCGTACGGTCTTCAACTCATTTTGAGTATCATTTAGATTAAAACTTTGGGCGAACGTAGATTTAATCAGGGCTATCAATTCCTCCACAGTTTCCGGTTCGTCATCACCCACTATACCCCTGTAAACCCGGTGTTGCATTCGATTCCGAATTATAGCGAGCAAAAGTGTTTTGTCCTCGGTTTTTGCTAAGGTATCGGCAAGCCTACATTGGGCAATAAAATGGTTTACCTGGGACGGCTTTCCATCAAAATGAGGAATAAAACTTTTTACTAGATCGTATTGGGTGCCCGTAAAGGTTTTTGAAAGTTTAGGCGATGACGTGACCGCGTCCCTAGTCGTACTGTCCTTGGAAGGTTGTAATGACTCTAAATTTAAGGTATTTGTCTGATGTTCATTCGCATCTGAAGAGGAATTCAAAACATTAGAAGGTAATGGCCTAGGTGGAATCATTAGCGTGTTATTTGCCGTGCTACTAGAAGGAACAGATACACCGCCCGGCTCACCCCAACTCTGCATCGTGGACTGGGCAGGTACAAGAGATGACTCTTGTAATCGGGGTTCAAACCTTCCAATTGAGGAAGAAGATCCTCTACTAGGAGATTCTATTGAACTTTCCTCCACAAATATGACGCTATCACCACGCAGACTATTTTTGCGACCCTTCCTCCTTCTGGCCCTTACTAGTTTCGTTGAAAACGGCGGCATCTTATCGAATTAGGACTAACGGTTACAACTAATATTCTATAGTCTATTTGCTAATATTCTAGACTTACAGTTTTGTTGCACGACAAATTTATAATCCGCAAGAAGTCACTTAACGTTTCTCGTTTAACTTGTTGCTTCTTTCACAGGTGTATGGCTCTGTCCCGTCTCCTGCTCGATGGTCCCCAAATTCGACAGCAGGTACTCCAGCTCAATGGTCCCCAATTCAGCAGCAGGTACTCCAGTAAAATTTGTCCGCAATCAGCTGCATCAGGTAGGCCTCAGCTCCGTGAACAGTCCGATCAGGTCCCGGGATTTTATTTTATCCTCTCTTATGCTCCAGGAATGATACAACGATGACGTGGACGAGGTGCGCGTGATTTCGGTGGATGGCTTGCACGGCAGCCGAAATCACCTGTCTCCGGTATTTACCCTTCGCTCTTGGGGAAACCGTGCCAAAACCCAAGAGGGAGAAGTTGCACTAAACTTTGTCCACTTATTAAATATATAACAGTTCAATAAAATAGTTTATAGAATGTTTAATTGACCGTTTAATACACACCCGCGAGTTGATAAAGTAATTTAAGTGTACATAAGTTTGTCACAATCACTTTATTTAACTATTCAGTTATTTCACTGTTTTAAACTGTTTTTCACAGAATTATCACCTTTTAAACTGTCACCTTTTAAATGTTTGTCCCCACTTTGAACTATTCCCTTTTAAATTATCCCACCGCTGTCACCAAATATGTTGCGTGTCCGTCGCGGAAAATAGGGATATTCGGGGATTTAGGTGCAGGTGTGACAGTCCGTGGAGCGCAGAGGCGCTCCGCTCTCAAGGCGCGGATATACAAAATAGTAAACTGTTATTATTGTTTTTAGTACTTTAATATTTTGAATTCAAATTAAAATCAGAACTTTAAAGTTGCGTTGTTAAGGCTTAGACCCTTCTGAGTGAGAACGACTTGTTCGTAACGAGTAACAAAAATCATTCTGACAATTCTGCGCTTGGCGGAGGAGATCTTCGCGCGTTGTCGGTCGATGCCCCTTCCTTGGTGGATCCTGGATCCTCCCTCAGGATCATCCCTCGTCCAATGGTGGAGGAGTCCACCCCGTCTCGTATGGGCCCCTTCTCCTGGCTGTGGTCCACCCTCAAGCGCGTGGAAGTGGAGGCGCTCCGCCAAGACGCTAGAACGTTGCAGCGCACATGTGCTAAGAGAAAGCGTGGGGCCCAGAGAAATTAGGAAACGACAAGACCTTGTACTTGCCAAAGCAACTCTTGAGGAAATTTACGACCCTCTTAGAGTGCATGAAAAGACAGGATATCGAAAAAGACTTCGTAACCCTTAAGGACCGTTCGTGACTTGGTCAAAAACAACGAATTAGCTATGGTCTATCATAAATTAGTTTTTTAGGAATTTTCCAAGTGAAACTATTCCATTCTCTGGACTTCCGGCCTTCTCTCAGCTCTATCACCCACGTCGAGGGGTTTACAATTTACTCTTTGTCTATTTATATAAGGGTATGCTTAGACGATGTTCGAATTTCGCTCTTAATTTATGACCAGCGATACAAAGGTCCTCGAAGAACATTCAAGACATATCGATACAATAGACTATCGATAAATATTCTCATGGCAGTGTCGCTACACCACTCTAAACATATTCACGTGATAACGTTTCACGTTACATTTTATTTATTTTATTACCGTAATTTCGTTTTATCTCATTGTTGTCTTTTATTTATTTATTTATTCAACGGTATAATTGTGTGATTAATAAACCTGCGCAATTTACGTCCCTTTGCGTGATTTAATTGTTCAATTTATTTATCGTCTTATCGTATTTGCCGTTCTATTTGGTTCTATATATATTAATATCAGTGGTTAATATCGCTGTTCGGTGTGTTAATGGTTTACGCGGTTTACATTGCTGTCTCGTCTTATTATTTCATTACCCATTGTATTCTATTTTATTTATTTTATTTACCATCTACATTCATATTTCATATCTCATGGTTCATATTATTTCATGTCTTTCGCGTCATTACGGGTATTGCATTTATTTATTTATTTATTTCCTTTATTTTGTGATTCAATACGTAGTCCGCTTGTCATCCGGTTGTTCGGCTTATTGTTTGGTTTATTTATATTATTTTATTATATTTGTCATTTTCATCGATTCATATCCGTGGTGCAACGTATTTAACGTGTTTATTGGTTACGTGGTTACGTGGTTTACTTTTCCTTTTTCTTTTTCTTGTTCTTTCGATTTTGATTTTCGATTATCTCATTCATAGTATTCATCGTATTTATTCCTTTATTTCTTTCTTATATCGTGGCTTACATATTTCATTTTGGTCTTTTCACGACGATGCAGCAGTGACATGTGCTAAAATAAATTGAATTGATTAATAAATAAATAAATTGGACAATCCGGGTTGTGTTTTTAATTGTTCCTTTTGTTCCAGTTCCAGTTTTGTTTTAGTTTATTTCAGGTTTAGTGTGTTTGTTTTAATGATGTGGTGCGATGAGGGATTGCTTTTGTGCTTTTGGTGTAAATGGTTTTGTGTAGTTTATTTGTTGCGTGGTGGGTGCTCATTTACTTTCCTTTCCTTTACTTACTTACTTATAATATTGTATTACATTCACGCTTTCTTGTTTCATTCACGCCTTCTTTCACTCACGTTACCTTCCTTACCTTCTTTACTTTTCTAAATCTTGCATTTCCTAAATCTCCCCATTCATTCAGTCATTATTCATTAACTCATTCATTCATTCTGATCAATTAAAGATAAATTAACGGATATGATATGATTTATTTTACTTTAGTTTTTATCTCTATGATGATGAGTGGTTTTGTCCATTCAAATGCTTTGATTGTGCAGGGTTTGTTATAATCTTATCATTTAAGTATCCTTATTTACTTATTTACTTATTTATTTATTTATTGTTAGTCTATACACTGGTATGGTGTTTATCGAACTACGCAGTTTACATTTGATTTGATTTGATTTATTGGTCACCTTAGTTACTTTATTTTGATACGTCATTCAATGACCAGTTCTATTTGCATTTGCATTGACATAATCATTTATCATTTACCATTTACCATTTAAAATTTGGTTTATAATTTACTTTGGTGAGGAAATAGATTGTTGTAGCTTATAATCTTTACAGTTATATTTCATTGAATTCACTTCTTGTATTTTGTATTCTATTTTAGTATATTTCATTTTGTTTTACATTATATTACATTACATTACATGACATTATTTACATTATGTTGGTTACAGCCTTCACTTTATATTTTATGCCTTATTATTTATCTGGTTATTTACCTCATTCTTCTTTCTTATCTTTAATTGATTATTTCACTGTTCAATCATTCATTCTTTCATTCTCTCATTGTTTATTCGTTCTGACACATTCCTGCTTTCGTGCTTTCACTCATGCCTTCTTACCTTCTTTATTTTCCTTAATTTTAATTTGCTTAATTGTTCCATTCATTCACTCATTATTCATTGTTCATTATTCATTCACTCATTCATTCTGATCAATTAAAGTTAATGGATATGATTTATTTTACCTTATTTTACTTTATTTTAATTAAGTTTTGCTCTCTCTACAATGATAGGTGGTTTTGTCCATCCAAATGCTTTGATTGTGCGTGAATTTTATTATAATCTTATCATTCAAGTACTCTTATTTATTATATACTTATTTATTTATTCTATTTTATTTTATTTCATTTTATTCTTATTTCAGTTTATACACTGGTATAGTGTGTATTGAACTACGTACTTTACATTTGATTTCATTGTTGCTTTAGCTATTTTATTTTGATACGTCATCCAATAATCAGTTCTATTTGCATTTGCATTGACATAATCATTTACCATTTATAATTTAGTTTATAACCTACTTTGGTGAGGAAATAGAGTGTTGTAGCTAATAATCTTTACGGTTATATTTCATTGAATTCACTTCTTGTATTTTGTATTTTGTATTCAGTTTATTATTGCATTCTGTTTTACATTATATTGCATTACTTATATTACAGTGCATTACATTACATTATTTACATTAGGTTGGTTACGGCCTTCACTTTTACTTTATGCTTATTATTTATTATATACCTCATTCTTCTTAATATCTTTAATTAATTATTTCATTGTTCAGTCGTTCATTTCATGCTGTCATTGTTCATTCATTCTGAATTAAATTGAATCAAGGTAACTGTTAAGATTTAGTTTATTTTGACTCACAATGGTACAAAGTTCTGTAAATGGTATTAATATTAATATAATTATGGTTTGTTTGCATACAATTATTCTATATATATTTTCTATATTTTAATTTATTTGTGCCACGTATCACTGTTTACCATCATTTATTTTATTTTATTTCTTGTCACCTCTATCCTTGGACATTCCTTGGACATTTTGACATTTTGATATTCTTCTCTGGTATTCTTTAATTCAATTTATTCAAGCCGTTTCTCTTCGATAATAGTATAGCTCTTTGATGACGGTGTGCTGTTCCTGTTGGAATTAATATTCATGTCATTAACTTGTGCTACTCTTGTTTAAATTTTATTATGCGTTATTATAATCATTACCTTGTTTGTTTCTTTTCTCTTCTTTTCTTTTATATTTCCTTTCTGCTAGTTACCTGCTGCCTTGGTTGCTTTGATTCTACTTTGGTTACATTTATTTATTAACTGACTGGGTGTTACATGATTGGTCCTACGTGACTTTCCTGACTATATGCGTTATCTGACGTTGTGAGATGGTTATATTTGATTTCGATTCTGTTTAGGTTGAATGTTTCATTCGTTTATTTATTCGGCCTTTCGTTCTGTGGCGGTTTCTTTGTTTCGTTGTTCTGCGTAGTTTGTTTCCTGCGGCGCGATAGGCAGTAACATGATGCGTCCTGCAATCTGCGGATCTTATTCGGGTTGATTTCATTTCTTTCATTTCATTCTATCTTCATCATTGTTTATACTTAACATTTACTTCATCCTACACTATTGCAAACGTATGATTTATATATTTATAAATAATAAATGATAGCCGTGGTATTGTTTTATTAATTGATTTATTCTTGATTTTAATCCGTCTGGGGTTCTATTTGTTGCCCGTTTGCTTTTATAATTACCTTTCCCGTGAGTCGTGGTAATGTTTTATTAATTGATTTATTCTTGATTTTAATCCGTCTGGGGTCTTATTTGTCCGTTTATAATTACCTTTCCGTGAATAGTATTGGATATCGGACTTATCTTTTATGGTAAGTCTGATGGTAAGTATGGCTTCCTAGGATGGCGCGGTTGCGCGGCGGATAGTTTAGCTGTCGGTAACTGAGATGTAGCAGATATCTGGCGCGCGGTGGGTAACTGCTGCGCGGCGGATAGTTGATCGGCGGATAACCGTTGCGGGATGAACGGCCGAGTATTATATGGTAAATAAGTAGAATGCTTGTGGCCGATAATACTTGGCTGCCGGTGCTGCGGATGGTTACCAACTAAGGATAATTTGTAATTATTATCAACGGATAGTGTTGCGTACTTTACTTTATTTAGTGAGATACTGGAATGTTTTCCGCTATCGTTACCTTCCGTTGCATTCTATTCGTGTTTGGTTTCGTTCACTGTAATTTATTGAAAGTGTTTTATTGATGTATTTAGTCGCGGGCGCTTGTACGTTCCGTGTAATAATCAATTAATTAATTTGATAACTAATTTAATAGACAACAGACATAATGGGACGAACTGTAAATTTTACGAAATTCCTCGAAGGTTACGCATCTATATGGCGTATGGTTTATGGCTTAAGCTTCACGCGGTTTCTTATCTTTGGTTGACATGATCATCGGCGGCACTGGTTTACTCCATCTCCATGTGCCATATACTCGGTTGAGACATGGAGGAGGATCGTAAATTAATTGAATCGTTAAATTGCTGAGTTTTGATTAGGCCATTAATATTGAATATTGAATATCGGTGCGTGTGTGTTTGTGATTTGTGCGTGTACCCATTGCAATGAGTGGTGATATGTGCTATTGTGCTCCGTTTTCTGATATATTATATATATTTATTTATATTTATTTATATATTTGTATATTTATATTT